GGGCAGCTCAGCATCCCTGGCACCCACTGCCCTTGGCACGTAGGGCTCCAAGGGGCTGGGAAAGTAACTCCTGGGCTCCTGGGGCTTGAGGTAGGCGCTGGGAAAGGGCTCCCTGCTCCCCACATAGCCAAAGCTGGGCAGGGCACTGGGCTCCCCCACATTGGGAGCTGTGGGGTGGTAGAGGGGGCCAGATCTGTGGAGTGACAGTGGGTAGGGGGGAGGTGGGAAGCACATTGCTGACCTCTCCTGGATCACTGGGCTGCTGTCAGGTGGCTGGAGCTTGGGCCAGGGCTCCAGGCTGAGGCTGGGGACTTCTGGCACCTTCTTCTGGCTCTGGGCAGAGGAACAACTTGCTTCCAGGAATGGGGTGCTGGGGAGTGGCCCATACTTATCAAAGGTGAGGCAGTAGTGGGGTAAGGCAGCGGGGGAGCTCAGCTGCTCCCTGGAAGGCAGGGCCAGGCTGGAGGGCAGCGGCAGGAGGCTGTGGTCAGCACCAGGAGCAGTCCTGTGGGGCTCGCTGGGGTGCAGAGGGTGGGTGGCAGGAGGCAGGGCCCAGTGTGCCTCCCCTGGTCGCTGCTGCAGGCTCTCTGCTTGTGCTCCCAGCAGCAGAGCCATCCTGGGAGCCAGGAAGGAGGCAGGGGCTCCATACACAGGCTTGGGGACTGCCAGAGGAGCTGCCTTCTTCACCACTACTGGCTTCTTCACCGGCAAGGGGCACCTGGGACTGTCCAGCTTCTTCCTGACCATAAGTTGCTCCTGGCTCAGGCTGTCCTTGCTCTTCTGGGTGTCTGGGGGCTGCAGCCTCGTGCTCAGGCTCTCTGGGGGGTACAGCAGCAGGCCCAGCAGTGGCCCCTCGGCCGGCACGGGCTGGCTCAGAGCTCCAGGGCCATAGTGCAGGTAGGTGGGCGTGGGGCTCCAGCCAGCCGGGGGCTGCTCGGGGCCCTCGGGGCTCTGCAGCGGGCAGGCAAAGTAGGAGCCCTTGTAGCTGAAATGGTTTCCAGAGCCAGGGTGGGGCACGGGGCTGGATGTGCCAGGGATTTTGCCGGGCAGGCAGCTGGGGGCGGGCGCCAGACGAGGCAGCTTCTTGAGAACCACGGGGCCTGCAGACTGCGAGTACCGTTTGGAGGCCATTTATACCTCGGTGCCGCTGTCCCCACGGGAGAGGTGAGCTGGCCTGCCTGGAAAAGAGAGACAACAAGCCATGAGCAAAGCAAATCCCCACAGCCAGCAGCCTGTGATGGCACAGGGTGCCAGAGGGCTACAAGCCATCCCACAAGGTGAAAGTGTGGATGCTAACAGCTGCTCTGGAGGCCTCACAGTCATAGATCACCCCAATTAAACCTTGACCAGTCTTGGCTGTTGGGGAACCAGCAGAGACCGTTAGGGAGGCAGAGAGCTATTGGCCACTGAGATGGGGGGTAACTGAATTCACCCAGTCAGGACCAACCATGCAGGGTTCCTGAATCCATATAAAGGTGTCACCATCTGCTGGTACAAGCAGGGGACATGATTTTACTGATCTCAGAGTGCTAAGGACACACAGCAGGGGACTTTCAGTTTAATCACAGCAGCACACCTTTACTGAGGGCCAACAACAATTATGCCACAGAGAGAGAATCAAAGAAAACAAAGTAAAGGGGAGAGAGAGAGAAGTGATGGTATTGCTACCAACAGAGAGACAAAGTCCTCATGGTCCAGCCAATAGATTCGTCTTCATTCCATGGGGAATCATCAAAGTTACCTCAGAAAGTTACTTTTTATAGTCTTTGTCCAAAGTGAGTGGCATCTGGCCAAGAGGTGAGGAAATTCATGGGCTACTGTGGAGGGCCTGTTGCTCCATGAAGCAGGTGTAAGAGTACAGAGCAAGCTGCTCCGTGCCAGTCCCTGCCCAAAGCAGTGTACCATGGCAGCACAGCATGCACACCTGCAAACAATCACTTGGCAGGCATCCACCCCAACCAGCCAGAACTCCAGTTGGGGTCTTCAGGGTCTCTGTCCTTGTGAGGGTCGTGAGGCAAATGATGGAACATGGGGATGTAAGTATCATTGGAGGAAAAGGCTGTTGTACAGGTATGGACCCTCTTTTCATGCAAACTGAGATAAAATGTTATGAACAGGCTCGACAAGCCTCGCTGTCATGGTGTAAGAGGCATGGACTGGGCACAACCATGGAAGCTGCTTTTAGTGTGTGTGGTAAATAGGTATGATTCGTGCTGACAAAATTGAAACAGTAATCAATGTTGATACAGTAATTAATATTTGGAAATAATAAAACAGTTAAAAGGTGTAATGCCAAGAAAGAAAGGGAGAGGAGGGGTTCCAACCCCCCCACTTTCCTGCAGATGTTCAAGGCGGGAAAAAGCAAGTGATAACAGCTACTAAAAATTAACAGAAAGAAAGTAAAATCTGGTTGGGTCCCAGGAAAATGTTAATTATATGAGATTCATTGCTTTGATGCTTAAATATTATATTATGTTAGTTTTGGCTTACATTATACTAGCTTGGTGCGCATGTGTAACACAAAGGTGAATTAAAGGACATCGAGGAAGAGGAGAGGCCTTCATCAGTGACGACCCCCAAAGAGTGGTGCGACCACTTGTAAGAGTGGTGGAGCGTGCACAGTAAAGGTGGTGATGAGGGTGGAGGCAGAAGTGTGATTAATCCAAAATGGGAAGAGATGGCATTGATACACAGCATAAAAGGGGAAATTTTCGCTTGACAAGCTCGTACATGAGGTGGCAAGGGTCCCAGGACCCTGCACTCCATACCCCATGCAATTTTTTTTTTCCTTATGTGCTGTTATTGGAACCAAATTATCCCTTATTTTAACCAAATTATATTGTCAATATTTCAAGTGTATCCGATCTTATATATTTTCTAAGCTATTCAATTAAAATTGCTGCTACCTCTAATATTGTTTGGTTTTTTGATTATGGGATAATTGGGCAAATATAACAGGGACATATCAAAAGCAGAAGCATGATAGCTTTTAAAGTTTAACAGTTTGTGAGCAAGTCAAATGCAATTTTCTTTGTTGGTGTAACTATGAATGTGAAAAGTGTGCAGCATACCACCCTGAGAAGCCGTGCTTGATGGCTCTGGGACATGCTTGAAAAATCCTTTTTGATGGTAGGAGGGAAACACAACAACTGGTAAGGCCAGACTTATCGAGATGGACGCAGAGCCTCATCCAACCCAAGCTTATTATTTGTGTCAATTATTTTGGACATTGTGCAGTGTTTGTCACCTTGTCTGCAAAGGGCCCTGCAGAAGACAACAAACATTGCCTTTGTATTAAAAACAGAAAGGGGGAACTGTGGTGCCTAACAGCTGGCCTGGAGGCCCCACAGTTATAGATAACCCCAATTATAACTTGAGGTCATTGGGGAACCAGTCTGGGCCATTAGAGATGCAGACAGCTATTGGTCACCAAGCTGGGTGGTAATTAATTCAGCCAATCAGGTCCAACTGTGTGGGCTTTCTGAAAATGCATAAAGGGAACTGCAATTAAAAAAAAATTTCCTGTTGCCACATGAACCTCGAGAGTGGTGTCATGTGTCAGTCTCAGCTGCGACATGAGGGTAACCCAGGTTCTTGTTAATTGATCCCCTGGGGCTGATTAGAGTGAAACTATGCTGATTGAGTTTATAAATATATATATACATATATAGAAATATCAGGTTTATTTTAGAACAATTAAGTTGCAGTGGTGCTGTTTTGGTTATTATCTATTGTAATAAAGCAATATAAAAACACAAAAAAAATACTTCAAAAATGCCTAAGGAAAAGAGAAGGTAGGAAAGGGTAAGAGCAGAAAGATCCCATTACCCATGGATCTTCCAACAAGACTGGGAGGTTGCAATGGCACGGTGATGATGTACCTGGGTGAGGGAAGGGCAGGAAGCACAAAGTTCCAGGGGTTCATAAAATGTTCAGGCTCAGTGGGAACAGCCAGGTACCTCCCCTGGGGCAGGGAGTTTTACCGGGATGATGTAATGCTGCGGATCACGGGACACCTCTCCGTGTATTTGTTTGCCTGTGACACAACTGCTTGTAGGTGCAGATAGAGGCCAATTATGGCCCATCAGAGGGGATGAATACCTACAGGCTAACCACGGCACTGGGCAGGATTTGTCTCTTATCAGCCTCTCCCCTTATCTTGTCCGACAGGTAACTACAGCCTGCCCCTCTGCACTTGGGCACTTGCTGCACATTCTCCATTGTTTGAGGCATTAACCATGAACATTCCAGCCTCACACACCACCCCCAAGTCAAACATTCCATCAGTTCTCTTCTGCTGCTGCTCGCTCCAAATCTCACACCGTGGTGGCTTTCAATATACTGGGACAGGAGGTCATGTTGTTGCCCGATAGATAAAGGACACAAAACTCGGATAAGTTTTGTGCGGTGCTTTATTAAGGGCCTGGGAGCCTGTAGACTAGCGTCCCAAGTCAGAGCCCCAACTTCACGTACAGGTGCTTCCCTTTTATATGATTTGCATACATGTGATTCATAACAAGGTCTCCAAGAAACAGTTCCCCTTGCCTAGCGACAGACCCCTTGTGATACATTCCTTAGCTCACAAACAAAATCATAAATCTTCTGCTTATCTTATTGTATGCTGCCTCCAGACAGGTTAGCATTCTTACTTTCCTACACTGGTTTAAATGTTTATTAAGTTCCTAAGACTACCTGCTAAGTTACACACAAAACCCAACACATACTATCAACGGCTACAAAACTGTTTTTAACAAACCAATTCGCACACAACTCATAACTAAACTGTAATTAAACATTTCGCTAAATTTCATTTCTTTTTCCAACAATAGGACAAGTTTTTAGTGCATCAGGCAGGGCTCAGATCAAGACAGAGAATCTCTGCACATCTGAGTCCATTTCCACAGGGGAATGTCACTGCAGGTCCAACACCCGTGTGTGCAGCATTAACAGGAATGCACAGTCTGCTGTACAATTCTACAGTGTGTCCAGTCCTGAGGGCTTTAATTGTGCAGGGATTTTCCCTTTCCACAGGATCCGACCCTCCCTGCCCGTGGAGGCACTCCTGGGAGGCTGGTGGGGCATTTCTCCATCCACCTCCTTGGAAAAGCCCTGGAAAGCTCTGGCTGCTTTGGTTCCACAGCTCAAGGAGCATCTGTTGCAGACAGCAGGAGCAAAGCTGGGTCAGCTCGGGTGAGGAGCCAGCAGCCACAAACCCAGAGTGCCCAAAATTCCCATCCCCGGCATCACCTCGTAAAGTAATGTGAGGTTTTTACGCCCAGGCAGCAGCTCAGCCTCTCCCTCAGGGGATCTGGGGCTGCAGCGGGGTGGGGCTGGCCCGCAGGGACAGGAGGTGGGTGCCAGCAGGTGGAGCTGGCAGCCTGTCCCAGCACAGCCCTGCCTCCCGAGAAGCCCAAGTGCTCTCGGAACATCAGCTGGCATCACCCAACGTCTCCTGAGCCTCCCACAGCCCCAAGAGCAGCACTGGACCATCAGCCTGCATCCCTCAGCATCACCTGAGCATCCTGCACATCACCCAAGCAGCCCAGGACAAACCTGAGCCTCACTCAGCACTCTCCCAGCATGGCCAAATGTCACCCTTGTCATTCAGCACGGCCCAGCACCTCCAAGCCCAGGGATGGACTCCCTGCAGTAGGATCTCCTCCATTTTGGGTGGTTTTTCCCTTTTGTGGCAGCGTTAGCAGGGAAGCCGAGGAGGAAATGGAGGAAGAGCACGTGGAGATAAGATAAAAGCCACATCAACAGCAGGGGAAACAGGGCAGATATGGAGGGAGACTTGTAGGGGAGATAAAGGAGAGAGCCACTGGTGCTGCTGCAGCTTTGCCAGAGGGGACCAGAGCTCCCCAGCTCAGCCCAGAACAGCACAGCCGAGGCTGCACCCCTCACTGAGCCCTCCTGGCGGGATTCTCATGCAAGCTCCAACAATTGATCCCTTCCCAGGAAGGACACTGCTCCCCTGGATCCCCTGGAAACCCCCACGGGAGCCGCGGTGCTTTCCTCCCTGCTCGCACCCTTGGCAGCAGCTCCCCCACACCATTTCCAACAGCTTTATCCTCAGGATAAATCCTTGGGGTCATTCCCAAGATGTGCAGTGCCAATTCAATTTCCAGCACTTGGATCCAGGGAAAACAGCTCCCTTCAAATAGAAACAAGCTTGAAGAAAAGCCCAGGCTGGGTTCTTTTCCTTGCAAAAGGGATCTCTTGGGAGGGTGGTGTTTAAATCCATCTCCCTGGGAGATGCTGCGTGGGAGGGCCATGCAGGCGTGGGATCCTTTCCCAGCTGGGACAATGTTAGGGGAGGACAAGCTGGGACAGAAATCCAGGATCTTGTGAGTCCCGATGTTTCCCCACTGCTGCTTCCCTTTCCCAAAGCCCCGGGGATCTGCAACTCCCCACGGTGGGGACATTGTGACACCGCTGTCACCACGGGAGCGGGTGACGCCACCGGGCACGATGCAGCCGCCCTGTTCCACCCAGCTCCGAGTTAAATTCTGCCTGGAGGGCTGCAGGGCAGCACGAGTGATCCCAGTGCAGCAATTGTCTGATAGGGCTGAGCTCATGAACCAAATTCGGCACAGGGGCTCCCTCTGTCCATGAAATCCACAGAGACTTTGCCCAACCTGTGCCATCCCCACACCTGTGCCAGGCCAGGAAAAAACTGCTCTGCTTTTGCTGTCACCATCAGCCTTTTCCTTCGGGGACTGTCCCAGCCAGGGGGAAGGAGAGGGACACGTGAGAATCAGTGCTGGGGGCGATGCTTGAAGAACCCCAACACATGCAGCCAGTAATTCCGAAACCCTACAGCTGAGGAAAGCAGCGGGTGCAATAAACACAACCCCCTATTCCTCTTTTTTAGTGTTCTTTTCCCTTGTCCCCCCTCTTCCCTCTTCTCAGGGCTTTTTCCCACACGGGGCCGTTTGCCCGGGAGGGAGTAAAAGTAAAACCAAGCTCAGAGTGAACACGTGTCCGCAGCAGCGAAACCTCCCTGATAAGCTCCGGCGGGAGCCTTATCTGCCGCGTTTTGGTTGTCCAAAGGACACGGGGAGGGCTCCCGTTCCTCCCCGGCCTGCCAAGGCCGTGGGGAACACCGCACACATCTCTTTTTGCCCCGATAGCCGCCAGCAATGCGCCCGTGGGTGTTATCAGCGGAATTTCCTGCCCGGGATGCGATGCCCGGAGCGGGAGCCTCTCCCCGCACTCTCCCGCCTCCTCCACCGCCACGTGATGGCAAAAGCAGCCGCCAGCTCCCGGCCGAGCCGCAGGAATCGAGCAATAAAAGCTCCTGGAGCCGCTGGCTCCGCTGGCAAGCCCAGCCCCCCGAGGGGCTGCAGCACGGGGAGGGCCCGGGCTCTCCCCGCACTCCAGCGGGAAGGAGGCGGGTGCCCCCGGCCGCCTGCAATCCCGGTTCCACAACCTCGGGGATTTTGGGATCCTGCCCTGGAGGTCACCGTTCCCATGGCCGGCGGGCTCGGATGAGCTCACCGGCATCGCTCCCCCAAACTTCAGGCACTTGAGAGAACAAGCAAGCGGCCTCAGCTCCCCCTCATTCCACATCTTGTCCCTTTTTCACAAAGTTTGCAGCTGCCCAGCTTCTCCCAGGCGGGCAAAAGCCCAGCCGGAGCCTTCCCGTGGACCAAGCCCGCTGCTTTTTAAGGCAGTATCCCTCTGGAACGCATGCACCAAGCCACGGCTGGTCTGAGATTCAAACTGAAATCTCCTCTCTCCCCCAGGGAATGCTCATTTTTATTTAAAAACCCTCAAACTTCACGGGGCAATGAGTAGTCGCCAGAAGGGCTCAGCGACTGCGTCCCCTTCTGCTTGGGGAATTAAAACTCCTCCAAAAGGCATCGATCCCATCCCGGCCCATCGATGTCACTCACATCCAAGGCTGGCCACGGTCACGGCTGGGACCCCCTCGGTGCCGGCAGGCGCTTGCCAGGACACGAGGTGTGGATGTGGCAGGGCTGCGTGGCCGTGGCCGTCCTTGTGTCCCCTCCGCACAGCCACGGCCACCGCATCAGGGTGGGCAGCACTCCGGCGAGCCCCACAGAAACCTCTGGCAGGAGCTTGAGCGCACTCACGCTGCGAATCAGCCGCATGATCCAAAGTGTCCATAAATGGGTAAAATCCCGGGATGCGGAGCTCACAACCCGTTTTTCCTCGCACGGCCCGAGGAGAAGCAGCCGATCCCGAGGGAGGCGTGCAGGGCTCCCCCCCTGCCCGAGGGTTTCAGCCGCGGGGGGAGCCCAGGGCAGGCGCGGCGCTGGCTGGGGGTCCCCCCGCCCCGCTGCCCCCGCATCGCTGCGCGGCTCCTGCGGGACGCGCATCCCTCCGGGCCCGCACTCACCTGCGGCTGGGGCGCGGGGCCTCCCCCGGCGCATCGCTACGGGCTGGCCTGGGGGCTCGGCGCGCACGGGGAACGGGGGGGCGCTGCCCCTGCTCGGCCGGCAGCCCGCCTTGTGCGGAGGAAGTGGGAGGAGGAGGAGGAGGAGGAGAAGGAGGAGGAGGGCTGGGTGTGCGTGTGGGCCGGCCGGAGGAGGGGAGGGGACGGGACGGGACAGCAGAGGACAGCCCAGCCACATGTGCGCTGAGCTGGGCTGGGCTGTGCTCTGCGCTCTGAGCGGGGTCTCTCGGGACGAGAACATCCCCCCGCGTTACCGGGGTCACCCACGGAGGGGTCCCCGTTACAGAAAGCCCCCCATTATAGAGGAGGCGCCGCATGGGGAGCCCACGGTGTGCAGGGGAGCAGCCCTCATTTTACGGTGACTCATTAAGGGGACCCCCATTTTGTGGAGCCCCCAGTGAAAGGGCCACGATTTCAGGCAGTCCCCATTAGGAACTACCCTCCCATTAAAGGGCGACCCAATTACGGAGAAGCAACGTTAAGGGCACTCTCCTTACAGGCTGCCCCCATTAGGGAGGGACCCTTGAAAGACCCCTCACTTACAGGCAGCCCCCATTAGGGAGGGACCCCTGAAGGACCCCTCATTTACAGGCCGTGCCCATTAGGGATGTGCCCCCAATTACAGGAATCCCATATGACAGGAGCCCCATGGAGGGGACCCCCGGTGCGGGTGTCCCGGCTCACGGGAGTTGATGTGGCTGTGGGACATCGAGGGATCCGTAACAACTCGATGCCGCTCAATCCAGTTTAGGGGCTCCACGGCTGCCTGAGTAACAAATGGTTCAAAAACGCGTGCACGGCTCACCCTGACAGCAAAGACCTTCATATGTAATATTTTCTGATGAATTGGCGCCGCTCAATAAAAGCGTGAATCATCTCGAGCCATGAGCGCACCTTAGGCGGAGTCACCCGCCTTGTATCCGGGTGTGCTTCTTAGACCTCCACCGGTGTTAAAGAGTTTTATTTCCCAATTTACCGGCAGTCCCCACGAAGAGGACCCCCCATTTCAGCCCATGCATTGTGGGGGTTCCTGTGAAACAGGAGCTCCTTTACAGAGCACAGAGGAGCCTTCCCGGGATGCGGCCGGAGGTCCGGCTCTGGCCGCACACAACTCTCTGAGCCCACAAAAAATCGCTTTCCCATTCCGTCTGCAGAGCCAGCGATCCGCTGGCAGCCTGGGGTGGGCTGGGGATGGCTTCTGAGCCCCCTCAGAGTCCCTCCCCGCCCCAAAGCACAGCCCCTCCTCCTGCATTTAACCCCTGCCAGCCCCAAGCATTAACTCGGAGCGTTTATCTAAGGAGTCGCGTCTGGAAAAGTCCATGCAAACATTCCCAGACTAATCATTAACCCTCATAAAAGGCACGTAAATATGATTAACCCAGTGACACAGATCCTGGGAGATTAAGTGTGTTGCCCAAGGCTGTGGAGTGAAGCAGCGGCAGAAGCTCAGCTCCCTCAGGCAGTGAGAAATAAAGATTTCTAAGTGAAAAAGAAATAATTCCCCTTTTTCATGACTTCATGGAACAAAGACCGAGAAAGCAGGGTTTAAATTCTCCTTTCCTTGGCCTCACAAGCATTATTTTCCACTTACAGCTTTAATTTATAGCAGTTTTGTGGCAGCAGCAAAGAAAACAAGGATCTGGGAGGAGCAGGCGTGGAATTCCCAGTCCCTTGGCTCCAAAGTTTACACACACTGCTTTGTCTGGAGCTCATCGATCAGGTGCTGCCATTAATATTCTCTTTGGTAATGCAATTAGAGAATAGTTATTGCATTCAATTATGAAATGTTATATATTAGTGTGCCACACAGAATAGTTAATATATATTAAAACAAGCAATTGGGTGGATAATACAGGTTGTTATTTAGAGTTATGGGCATTAAAACTATCAGTGTTAATTTTGACCTGACTGAACAGAATCACAATTCCCTCAAAATGGCAGATAATCCCTTCAAGCTTGACTTGGCTCATACATTTACATAACTTTACTCAAGAAACACCTTTCCTCATACTGGTTTGGCCACATCCCTGCTGCCAGGCATCCAGCTGGACTCTGAAAGCTAAATTTCAACAACATTTTCTCAATCTTCCATTTCTCTGGTGCAGAGAGGGGAGCTTCTACCTGCTGTCCCAGCAAATACCTTCTGTTTTGTTCTTTCTCCTGGGAATTTCCTTCTCTCAGCTCCCTGTGTGGTTCCTGTCTGCCTTGGCAACTCAGATGTTCTGAGCTGCTCCTTGTTGAGGCATCAAACCTGCTGGAACAGGAGACACAAACTTCAAAAAAAATCCTCATTATTTAAATTTAATTGTTTTAATTTTTATATTAATTTTCAAAGACTTGGCAGTGTGTCTTTGGGGGAAAGGTGGGTGGTGATTCCCACTCAGGGCATGGCCATTCCCACCCTTTTTGCCCCTCCAGCCATCAGCATCCTCTCTGTTTGGTACCCACTGATGGGAGCAGCCCCAGAATCCCCACAGGCTTGCTGGGGAGGTGAGGATTTGACTGATATAGTCAAATTTTGGCCGTGTGGTTTTCAATTCTCTTTTTGAGGCTTCTCAGCATCTCTGTTCAATCTGTTGTTTTCTGGGCTGTGGCTCCCCCTCAGTGCTCAGGAAAGCTGCAGAATTCACATTGTCACTGCCTGCAGGGTCCCCAGATTCCATGTCCCTGTGGACACCCATCCTGGGGCTCACCCTGGCAGACACAGGGATGTGGGAGCTCCAGGTGGGATTTTGGGCATCCAGGCAGCACTTGGAGTTCATTGCTGCTCCACAGCCATACCACTTTTCCCTAAAAAGGGTCGGTTCTTGTCCCAGCTTTTGCTCCCCAATTTGTCCTGGTGCTAATTCAGCCCCCCAGGAGGATTTAACTCCCTCTAGGAGGGCAGAACCCAGAGTGATGGAGAAAGGTGGGTGGTCCCCAGCTCAGAGACCTGTGGCAGATCTGTCCAGGAACATCTACCTTCATTCCTTTTCCCTCTTTTTTTCCTCTCTTCTCTTTGATTTGCTTCCCCATAATGTCATGTTTTAGGCTCAGGAGAGATGAGCTACTCAACTGATGCCCTGGTGACAGGGAGAGGAGGCATTTAAAGGTCACCTGCTGCCACAAACCCCACGGCTTCCCTGGTTTTAAACGCAGCAGCCCTCCAAAATGACCTTGGGTTTGCTCCTATGGACCAGAGAACCCCTCTCCATTCCTCAAATCATCAGGCAATCCCCCAAATTATCCAACAGAGCCAAAACAGAGATGGTTTCTTTGGCTCAGGAGCCATTTGGAGGGGAGTGGGAGATGGATGGGGCCCTCCTCTATAGATGAAACACATCCCATAAATGGAATGAAGGCAAATCCCCTTGGTCCCCCCCCAAAAATTCCCCAATTCCATCCCACCACAAGGGATTTGGGACACCAGCATCTGTTGCTCTGTCCAAGAGGACAAGAGGGAGATTTATCCCACCCCACCATTCGCAGGGCTCCTGCCAGGGACTTCCCAGCCTCCTTAGCAGCTCTTGCCTTGGAGACATCCTTGGTGGCAGCAGCACCCCTGATGAGGCTCTAATTAGCGAGCTAATTGGAATAAGAGAGCTGTAGAGACATTCCCAATGCACAGCCTGCTGCAGGAGAGGGACAGAGGAAAACAGGGATGAAGGGATGGAGAGGTGGGGGGGAAGATTAGGGAGGATTATAGGGAGGGCTCCCAACAACTGCCATTGTGGTTAAATTTAAAGTACAATTATTGTGAAGAGAGGGATCCAGGTTTCCTCATCCCACTCATTTCTTCTGGAGCCAAGAAGGAGTTGAGGCCTTGGAAGCTGCCAGCTCCTTCCAAACCTCCAAATAACTGCTGGCAGTGAGACAAGGAGACCCAAATATCCTCTGAAATGCCCACTTGCACATCTTTCCCTGTCCTTGAAGTCAGATCCCACACTTTAAGAATTTTTTGGGGTGGGTCTTTACAGCTTCTCCCACCCCTCTTTGCTCTGTATCTCCTTCTATAGGAGATATTCTCCTTCTATTTTCTCCTGTCTTCCAAGATCCCCTTTTAGGATGAACTAGGAGAAAATTAAGTCTGGAACTGGATGATTTTTAAAGTCCCTTACAAGCAAAACCATTCTATCATGCTACGAAAATACAGCATGGGCAAGTCTGGTTGCTCATCCAACATTTTTCCAGCTTTATCTCCTTCAAAACTTTGATTTGGATCCTGCCAGGGCCTACAGTTATTGGTAAATAAATAAAAATCCCAAGTTATTCTGCTTGCTGCCCCAGGAAAGCAATAAAGACAAGGCCCAGCAACCCAGAGATGCAGGTACCTCATTATCTCTAGATAATTATCCATAGGTAATGAGATACCCAAGCCCCAAGCAAGAGCAGAGCGGGAATAAATCCCCAAGGGACATGACAGATTATCACAATCCCACCCAGAATCATGGAATTGAGCAGACCCCACCAGCCAAGAGGGTTTTTCTCTGCTAAGTCATTCCCCCAGCAAGCTGCTCTCCAAGGAACACTGAAAACAAAACTAATCCTGTTCTCCCAGGAGGAGGAATCCAAAAATAACCCTGTGGATGAATGAGCAGCACAAAGCCAAGTGCTGAGGCTTGGGTTGAGTTTGGGAGCTGAAAGCTTTCCAGCTCCATGTTCCCACTTGAATTACTGCCCGGGCATTCACACGCCGTTCCTGCACTTCATTACAAAAAAACCGCGGTGTTTCTTTTTGCTTTTGTTTCCCAGTACGGGACGTGAAATCCTGCAAAACCCTGGGGGAGGATGCAGGGAGGGAGAAGTTCCTTGGAGCAGCCTGCAGGCTGATGGAACCCATCCAAAGCTGAGGAAAGCCACTTGTGCATTGGGACATGGGCCTGCAGTCCACGGCTCCAGCGCTGAATTCCTGGCTGGACTCACTGAGCTTGGCACGTTTGGATGCGCCTCTGTGGGAAGTCCTGGCATGGTGGCAGCACTGGGGATGCTCCTGACGTGCTCCCTGCTCTCTCAGCACTGGGGTGGATCACCTGCTCCCTGCCTGCAGGAAGGAAACACCCCCAAAGCCAAGGATGGATACCCATGGAACACCCAGGCCAGTCCCACAGCACAGTTTCTTACGAGCATCCTGGGGCATGAGAGAAGACCTTCAGCGGGAATCTCACACCCAGGAGCGGAGATTCCTGGGCTGGGATTCCCCTGTGAGCCCCACCTCCACACCCTGCCCTTCCAGGGGGAAGCAGCCCCCCATCTGGGTTTGTTCCCTGGCCACCTCCAGGGACACCCCAGCACTCCTGGTTCAGAGGAGGAGAGCAGCCAGGGCAGGGAAACACCGTGCTCAGTGCTGTGTGCTGAGGAATAGCCCTGTGGCCTTGGGAAAGCCTTGGGTGTGGTGACAGCCAACTCAGGGAAGCTCTGGGCAGCAGCAGCTGTGCAGTCCCTGTCACACAACAGCGGGAGGAGGCAGCCCCGTGCCCAAACACCCCTCACCTCCCTGGGCTCCCAAATGAAGCCCAGTCCCTCTGTGGGGACAGCAGCAGTGTCCGTGTTTGGGGAGCTGGCCTCAGTGGCACAGCCGGGATTGGGGTGCCATCCCTACTGCCCTGGCTGCTGGCAGGGATCCCCACATCCCCAGGGATCCTTCCAGAGGCTCTGGAGCCCTGGCTCTCAGGGATCTGCATCCTAATAAGCACCATGATGTAACTCTGAGTAAGTCTTGCAAGGGATCAGCCTGAGGAAGCTGCCATTTCTTACCCTTTTTTTTTTTCCCTCCCTTTGTTTCTGCTCTGGTTGAGGTCACCCAGTCTGACCTCAGCAACTCATGCACCTTCTTCCCCTTCTCTTCCCATCTGTGGCCTTATTCCCAAAGAGAATCCCTGTGTCTGTGCCAGCACAGATGCTGCTGCCTGTACCTAAAGCTCTGGAATGATTAATTAATTTATTTCTGCATGATTCCCAGTGTGGGAATGGCTGCACGTCTCTGTAACATCTCTGGACTCTGTCTCCAGCAGTTATCTCTGGTGCCCATGTGTTTGGTGTTCCTGCAGGCTATCGACCCATCAGCTGCTTCCCACACATCCAGTGCCCACAAGCCTCCCACAGATCCATCAAGATGCTCCAAAAGTCTTTAAAACAGTTTTTGTTCTCTCCTAGCTGGGGTCAGGAGGAGGTTCACCTCTCCAGGGTGTTTGCATGGCATTGCTGCGGTATCTCCCGCATTCCTTTACCCTGTGTGGGAGGACAGGCATGGAATTGTGAGCAATTTGACCATTTTATTCCCTCTCCTGCCTGCAGAAACCACTGTCAATCCTGGAAACCCTTCTGCAAGAGTCCCTGGCCCTGGGCTGGCTCAATGCTGCTCTCAGGCTGCTCTCTTCCCTTTAGGGATGGTCCAGGGTGGTCTCTCCTCTTCCTCTAGGCACTGGTGGGGAAGAACACACCAAGATGGATGAAGGTTTTCCACAGAGAAGACCCAAGGACCAAAGCGGAAGGTGTCAGGATCCAGTGGGACTCATGATTGCAGTGGTAGCCACCAAATCCCTGGAGCTCAGAGGCTTTTGCTGTGCCAGCAGGGATGTCCCTTTCCTGTGGGATCATCTCTTCTTCCTCCCAGCTGGTGCTGAGTCTCTCAACTGGGTTCTTCCCAGTTGGCTCCACTTCCCCCATGTCACAGGGAGCCATGAGTGTTGCTCAGCAACAAAAAATGGTGATACAGGTTATAAAAATGTTGCAGTAAGGTAGAAAAATAATAAAGAAAGGCTTCATGAAATCAGGCCTGCTCTGGCTAGCCTGTCATTTCTTCTAAGGCACTTTCCAAGTTCCCATGTGAAAGCAATCCTGTTGTGAGCAGTTTGTTAGCACAACAATTATTCCTGGCTGAAAAACAACTGGCACCTGTATAAACTGTTTTTACACCATTAGGTAGAAAAATGAAAAGTATCTCTCACTAACAGCTTTCCTGCACATACACCCCGGGGGTTTGAGTGACTAATCAATACAGAATAACAACTTGTTACTAACCAATAATTGACAAGAAAGCTACTAACCCACTGGAGTCACACACGAGGTGTGTAAAACTGTACAAAAAGGAGTGATGTGAATAAAGAATGGGCTTTTTCCACCATGAAGAAAATCGAGTCCCACGTGATTTATTCCCATGTAAAAACACCAGAAGTGATGGGAAAGGGGTGTTTTCCTCCTGGTGGGACATCTGCAAGAAGCTCTATATAGGAGGGGACGGTCCAGGAGGCCAACTGGAGCTTCACCATCCTCCTCTCCTGGGTGGCTTGGTCTGAGGATTCAGCAGAGGAGAGAGCAGAGCATCCCCATGACCTGCCAGGGTGGAATCAGGATCCTCTGCTCCAGTCTGCAGCCTAATTGCAGGTGGGACCAGGAAGAGGAGCCTTCTCTGTTTACTCACATAGTTTCAAGGTGAGTAACACACGCTGGGCCCAGCTCTGGCTCCCTGGTGCTGTCAGGGTGAGACCTTCCCCTCACAGCTGCCCCAGCCCCTGGGCTGAAGAAGCTCTCAGATGGAAGGACACAGAGCTTTGAACCCCCTCCTGCATCATCCCAAAGAGGCTGGGGGACACAGAACTCTCCTTGCCTGGCATTGAGGATCTTTGTCCTCTTTTCCTCCCCTTCCCCCTTCCTTCTGGCACACAAGGAGCTGCTTTGATGCCCTCATGAGACAGATTTTCCACCGATAACAGATCCTTGTGATAACAGATCCTTGTGGTCACCCCTGTGACTGACTCATTCTTCCCAGGGGCTAAATCCTGGTGTCTTCAGCTCCCTTCAGGCACCTTGGGAAAGGAGATATCTTGTTTCCTTCATAACTACCTCTACCAAATAACCCCCTCCTGACCCTGCAGCTTGGCCAACTCTTGGCCAGCCTGTCCCCAGGAACTCCCTGTCCCTTGGATGTGGGAGCAACCCTTGCTGATGGGTTTCCTTCCTCCACAACCACGGGCTGAAGCAGAAGATCCCACAAAAACATCAGACCTCAGCGAGCTTCTACATCCAGCAGAGTGAGTGGTCTTGGTGTCCTGGGTGGTTTCCTCGTCCAGGAATTGCTTTTTGAAGCCACTCTCATCCTCTCCTGTCAGGAGAAATCCTATGGAGAAACATCTTTGGACATGCTGGATGCATTGGGAGAAACATCTTTGGACATGCTGGATGCATTGATGGTGCTGGGTTTTGCACAAGAGGCAGTGAGTCATCATCCTCTCATGATTTATCTTCCCTGGACTCATGAGGATATCACAGACCTCGGTCACTCTGCCCTTGGTGCCCCCTTCCCAGCCTGTTTCACCACCATTTTCACAGCAACCTGAGTTTTCAAGGAAGTGGGCTGGGGACAGTGACTCTTCGAGGGCGTTTTCCAAGGAGAGCTGCTGGGGGAAGGATGCTGGTGGGACTTGGGAAGCCGCCTTTGTTTGCCGGGGCTGTGCAGGGTGTGAGGAGCCCTGGCTGGGAACACGGTGTGCTCTGCAGCCGCCGGCAGTGGGAGGTGCTGCTGGCTCCGGGGGTTATTGCTGCACCACTGAGGTAAAAGGGATTAGCACCGCGAGGTTGGGAAACCTCGGCCGGACCCTCTTGCCGAGCTGGAGTCGGATTGCAGCAGGAGCACCACAGAGAGCCCGAGGCCACGGGCTGGCAATCACCGCCCCGGCAGGCTGGGACATCTTATTGCCCTCGTAAAAACCTCTTTTCACTCATCAGGCTAATGTGGGTTTTGGCTGCAGTAATTAGAGCCTCATAAAGGGCCCGCTCGCCTCCCACTGCCACATCCCCGCTGTCCCCAAGCTCCCCCTCGCTCCGCCCTTCGTGCCAAGTATTTCCTTCTCCTTTTCTCTGCGGTGAGAAGGAAAAAATCCCAAGCAAACCCCACAAAAAGGCCACTTTCCCCCCTTTTTGTCTTGCAGCTAACCCCTGGGTGCAGGGAGCTGTTGGAGCAGGAGCACCCAGGCTTTTGGCAGGAATGTTGCTGGCCTGTCCCGTTTGTAGGAGCCGAGACAGCCAAGCCTGCCAAGCACTGGAGAGCTGGGGGTGAACCTGAAGCTGTTCCTTGAGCTGGGAACTGGCCAAGCTCTACTGGCCAAGTGTCTTCTTTATTCCCTTCTAGGCTTTTTCCATGCCTGGGTGTATTTCCACAGCGTGGAAAATTACTGCTGATGCTCCAGTGCCAGGTCCCTGCCCTGGCAGAGGTGAGCTAAGGCTGCATGCTCATCCAGGGAACTTCTCACCACGGGATGCTGCTGGGGCAGGAATGCCTTGAAGAACCAGCTAAGAAGTTTAAAAAAAAACAAAAATAAAGCTATTAAAAATAAAGAAATAAATATTATAAATATATCCTTTTTTTTTTTCCCTGCTTAAAAATATTTCTCTGAAGAAATCCATCCATGCCAGCTCACTGAAGTTTTTCCAGCCCAACAGCTGTCTGGGTTCTGCTCCTCAGAAGTACCATGAGAAAGTACAAATACTTCCCAAACAGAGCAGATAAACCAGGATAAACCATGTGCACCAACATCCACAGCCCCAAATCCCTGCTATCCCACACTCAGGGATGAAAGCAGCAGTGGCAGAGAGCTTGGGATGACAGGGAGCACCTGGG